CATAGATTTTAAACACTACATTTTTGCAAGCTTTGAAACATGTCCAAACATTGAGCCCTTTCTGCTCCGCACGTATTTCTATCACCACCACCTGTAACGTTAGCTCAGCCAATTCCCATTTCAGGTTATATTGAATCAGTGGTTTCTCATCTTTAAAAATATTCTCACCTGTAGTTGTTCTATGCAGATTTTTCTAGAGGTTCTTTGCTCTCTCGAAACTTGGCACTGACTCTTGCATAAACAACTGAGCAGTATTGGTAACGTTTTTGACTCAAGAGCCAAGGAAAACCATTCAAAACCATTTGCCTTGTTTTTAACTGATCACCGGTATTTTTCCCAATGTTCTCAACTCTTCAAGCAACCATTCTCACCCAAAGGCTAACAGTCTTAGAAATTAACTCACCATTGGTTATTAACAGCTTCCCTTGCCTAGCTAACGAATGAGCTACTTATACCTTAAAAACACAACATCCAAAGCTCAGTTTTCTTTTTTTTAACATTAAGTTCGCACTAATAATTTTTTTAAAATAGTCATTATATAGTAATGGATATGGCCTGCAAAACACTACTGAGTTACAAATGTGTAACTTCAACCCATAGTGTGAAGTGATGACAGTGCCACATACTGTCTCTGTGGCAATTATTTAATTCAGCCATTATATGAGGAGAACCACCACCTACAGTATATAAACAAATGAACATGGCTGCCACCCAATAAAAATATATTTAGACACTGATTTGATTTTCGTATAATTTTCATAGGCCACATTATTCTCCTCTTTTTGTTGCTGTTGTTTTAAAACATTTAGAAATGTGAAAACCATCATTAGTTCATGGTTTATCCACAAACAGGCAGCTGGCCATAGTTTGCTGACCCCTGCAGTTGAAAAAGAGAAAAATGAGCTTTATTCACATTTCTCACAATTGAATCCACTTGTTTTGCTTTTTTCAGTATCTAATGAGGAAAAGCAGCAACCTCAAGTAAAGTAGAAAGGGTAAAACTCCAAGTGCTGGTTCTTTGAAACTATCAATAAAAAAAGGACAAATTTAATTTAGAAAACAAACATAATATTTAAAATGATACACAGTAACAGGGAGTTTTCCTAATTATGAGAGAAAAACTAAGTATACTAATAAAATTGAAAGTCTTAATGACATAGGCAATAGGGAAAATACAAAGTTACAGATAGAGGGGAATATTTGTACTTCAATTGTTAAGAACAACCACCTGGGTTTTGATCTGGATTCTACAAGGCTCTGCACCTTTCATTGCTCTGGAGCTATTTTACAACTGTGTAAGTTGTGGATACATGATAATGCAAACAATTCTTATCTACAGACAAACGCAAATAAATATTCTGTTGGGTAGAGGTTCAGCTGACTTCCCTCCTGTGGAAGAAGTTTTGCGTCCATTTATACATTTATTTCAACATTCCTTTAACTCCAAATTTGTCCTTCTCCTTTGAACTGACTCAACATCTCAGTTCTCTCACTGAGCTTAAAAAAAAACGCTTAACACGTCTTCATTTCGTATTTATCTGTATGAGTCACTTCACTTCGTAGAAAATTATACTTTAACACAACTAAGGACGATGCAAAAAAAAAAAAAAAAGGAAGAAATTACCTCCAAAACTTCCTGGGGCGCTCTCAAATCTTTAAGAAGCAGAGTCTCTGACAAAGAAGGCAGAAGAATATCCAGTCTATTTTATGCCAAGAGCATTTTCCGGGCCAAACAAGGGAGACGCAGCACCGAGGACCAGCCAAGTCCGGCGGCTTTCTGGGCAGAGCAACTTGCGCCGCAGCGCACGTGGAACACCTGCGCCGGCCCCGCCCACCTCCTCAAGTACAAATCACAGCCCCCGAGGGCAGGGCCTGGCCATCAGCTCTTAACAAGCTCCACGCGAAGTTCTAAAGGGCACAGGTGTTATTTAACCCATGAAAGCGCTGAGGCCTATAGAAGTTCCTCAAGAGTAAAACAGCTTCTTCACGCTGCCCAAGGTGTGCTCCGTCCATCTCCCTTCACCCTTCCCACCCTTTATGTAAGTTACCTAGAGCACGGGGCCTTAGAGGTGGACCAGCCGGGCAGCTGTAAAATACCAACGACACTGCCTCCTAGTGGGGGAGTGTGGCAACCATCATAGCAAACAGCCTCGTAGCTGGTTTCCTATTTTGTTAATTTCATTACCCATTTGTAATTACTCAGCTCTAATTCCTCCCCGACTACAGAAATCCCAACACTTTCCTCACCATCAACACCAAAATCCAAAAAAAGGGAAGGCTTCTTTATAGAGCTATATTTAGAAGGCAAGAGTATTTGCTGAAAATGCCTGACCCCACACCAAAAAATGGAGTTTGTGATAAATAAGAGAAAACTTCCTTATTGTACAATAGTAATAAATATAAAGGTAATAATGGAGTTAAAATGTCATCTAGATGCTAAAACCAGTGAGTGAAAAGTTGATGAAGGATATTTAACTTTCAAATATCTCTTTACAACTTAAGAGTGGAGAAATTTGACAGATGCACCTTAATCCAAGTGCTTAAACATCACTAAAAATGTGACAAACTGATAGTTCTGTGCCTCTCAATATGATGCATCAAGCACACAGTATATCACTTCTGCACTACAGATCTTCCTTCACTTATGATGGGGTTATGTTGCGATAAACCCATCGTAAATTGAAAATACCCTAAGTCAAAAACTGCATTTAATAGACTTAACCTACTGAACACCATAGCTTAGCCTAGGCTTAAATGTCCTGACACATTGGCCTACAGTTGGGTAAAATCGTAAAACACATAGCCCATTTTATAATAAAGTGTTAAGTATCTCGTAAGTATGTTGAACATGTACATAAAGTGAAACAGTGATTATATGGATATAGAATAGATGTTAAGTGTTGGTTGTTTACTTTGGATCCACACGGCTGACTGGAGGCTATGGCTCACTGCCATTGCCCAGCATGAGTGTTATACCATACTAGACAGGAAAAGATTAAAATTCAAAATATAGTTTCTACTGAATGCATATCACCTTCACACCACCCTGAAGTTGAAAAATCTTGAACTGAACCATTTCAAGTCAGAAACAATTTGTATTCCTACAGAAATGGCTGTTAACTCCAATTGTGAGGCAATATCAAACCAACCCAAATTAAAAGACATTTTACAAAATCAGCCAATACTTTTAAAAAATACCATGAAAGACACGTAAAGGAGGCTAAAGGACAAGAAAACTAGATGCAGCAATTCTGGATTGGATCCTGGACCAGGGAGGAAAAACTAGTAAAGACATTAATTGGGAAAACTTAAAAAAATCTGATAATGGATTAGGTAACAGTATTTTATCAATTATATTTCCTGATTTTGGTAATCCATCTGTGGTTAAAGAATGTCTTTGTTCTTAGAAAATAGACATTAAAATATTTGAAACAGAAGGGCATATCTCTAATCTCAATGGAGCAGAAAAAAACGTAGAGACAGAATATAAAGCCAGTGGGGCAAAATGTGAACTGGTAGATCTGGGTGAAGTATTTGTAAGTTCTTCGTACTATATCTTGCAACTTTTCAAGTTTGAAATTAGATTAAAAAATTGTTACAATTTTATGTAGTTACATTTCTAGAATGTTTGCTGTATGTCTGCCTGACAGAGGATCAATGGAGAGCCAGACTGACCTAAGACCCTAATACTACCTTAGAGAGATCTTGACTTGCACATGTACAAACATGCCCAGCTTAGTCCCAGCCTGAAAAAGAAAAGTTGGTGCTGCAGCTTAACAGCTGCTCCTCCGGACTAATAGACACCAGCCCTATCTAGCCCTCTTCCAGCTGGACCCACAGCCTCAGACCCCTAAGCTCAGGTCTACTGGGGATCCACCCAGTGAGCTCTGCCTCCCTTAAACTGACACACCCCGTTGTTTCTTTGATCCTCCCACACACATGCATTCACTCTTCAATCTCCTATGCCCCAGGTACTGGGCTCCACAATAGATAAGACACAAAGACCACCACTCAGCCCATCTCCCACTCACAGAAAACCCAACACTCATACGTGTGAGAAATGTTACACTTTCAAGATAGGCAGGCTCATTAACCCAAACTGCGTGTACCCAGGAAAGGCTGAGGTGCAAACACCAGGCACGTAGAGTGAGAAGGGAAAGGTATCTCCTGACTTTTGCTGAAGCCAGAGTTGAGTGCTCAGGGCTTGCCAGGATCAGGCAGTGTAGAGCTGGCAAGTGAAGCAGTGATGCATTTTTTCAGGCTCAGGCCTCTGAACACATCCATTATCTGTATGGGCACTGCCCAGAGGCCACTTACAGGTGCTCACACTGCAGACCACTCTTCTTCAGGACACTGCTCCCTTGAGAAAGAATCCCTGCCCTCAGCTCCACCAGTACCCAACCCCACAGATGACACAGGCAAGGTTGTTGTCCGAGGTTTATTGGAAATATTAAAGCACAGCAGAAAGTTTCAAACAGCTCCACGTGGTGTTTTGAAATTCATCCCAACTGTAGGCTGAGTGACCTGCAGGTTGGACAGACTGCCAAAGTCCTGGAACAACAAAAATGAACTTAGTGTGTCTGCACTGATAAGATCTGTGGTCAGAGCCCCAGCACCACCATTAGGCCATGGTTTTGTCAGCCTCCACCAGCTGGGGGTCAGGTTGGTGGGATCCTGCAGAAACGAAGAGCGCCTTTGACACCCCACCCCTGAGCAATAAACTCACAAGATGGTCTACAAGATCTGAAGGAACCTACACTCCAACAGCCAGCCCTTAGGAAGCTGTCCTGTGCATTGCAGGACGTTAACAGCATCTCTGGCCTCTATCCACTAATGTCTGCTAGTGTCCCCCAGCTGTGAGAACCAAGAATGTGTCCAGATATTACCAAATATCCCCTGGGGGCAAGAAGTACAAAATATGTCCCTTTGAGAACCACTGCTTTAAGGCATATACAACACTTCATTTCCAGGACCTCAGGTAGGAGGCATCACTTAATGCAATCAACATTTGGGAAGGGGTCAGGAACAGTAGTGGTAGGAAAAGGTCAGGCAGGGCTTGCCGTTAAACTCAAAGTGAATGGAGCAGAGAACCCAAGGGTCCACACATACCCAGAACTTAATTTCCCATTTTATCCCCCCAAACCAATTTTACAGTGGAAACTAAAAAATTCCATTCAGGATAGTGGTTATTTCAGGAGACAATGATCAATAGCAGGCTTTAGCTGTACTGGTAATGCTTTTCTGAAGCTAGGTGGTAGATACATGGGAGTTCATTCTATGAATTATCTTTTTGAGTATCTTCAACATTTCCTGATCATACAAAGGGAAAAATGAAGCAGCTCTAAATCATGAACTGGCACATGGACTTTGAAGCTCACACTACTTTCACCAAACTGCAAAATACTAAGAAAAGCCACAGAAGAGACACATATCAAATTGTATTGAAGATAGCTGAACATCCAAGTAGCGCTTCGTAAGCAACTGGCAATGAGACCACAGCTCATCTGAGTGGTTAGCATACAGGCACAGAAGGAAAGCAGACAGAATGAAAAGAGAACTAGGGCAGCAACCAAGAGGGCAAATCTGAGGAGCCAGCTGCAGAATCCACAACAGAAGGAACTGAGAGGAGGGGTGTCCTGGAAGTCCTTGGAGAACAGCCACTGAATTTGGGAGTAACCTTCTTGTGGCGCACAAACTCAACCTTCAATAACCAGCTAAACCCATTTAGGAGACAGTCTAGTTTAGTAGTTAAAAGTGTGGATGGAATTCCCATTCCTGCACCTACTAATCTTGGAGTTACCATTTCTTCATATATCAAATGTAAGTAACAGGATGGGATACAGTGAGGAAAAGGAAAACAATGCACAGAAAATGTTAAGAACAGCTGATAGATTTTAAGGACTCAGTGTTACCTAGTAGTAATACAGAGAGTAGAATGCTACTGTTGATGTCCAGGGAAGCTCAACTTTAGGAATTCAGCAAACACTTACCAAGAGCTTCAGCATTTCCTTAGTATCAGGATCTACTTCAATGATTTCCTGATCCAGGGCTGAGACCTAGAAGGAACAAGGAAGGCCCCAAATAGCAATGAGTTATTTCACCTTCCCTCCTTGTTCTCCAAGATTCTTAAATGAGGGAGAAAGAAAAGAGTGGATGGGGGTGGGGTGGCACAGAGGGGACAGAACAGGATTCCACAGGCTCAGTATTTAGACTGGGTTATAAACCTTAAGACTGGGCTTATACTTCTGGAATATTATGCTAGGGCATATAATCAAACCAGAAGACATGATAAATCACCAAACATCATTAAAGGGCTCTCATGTGTAAAACAGAATGGACTCACATGGTCCCAACAAGGCAGGACAGAAGCTAATATATAGGCAGGTAATTATGGGCCATAACCTACAGCTGGTTCAGGGGTACAAGATAAAGGACCCAGACTCAGCTGAGGTCCCTTGAAAACCAGATACATGAAATGGTTCTCAGGAACCTGCTGTATCTTTCAGGGTGAACCAGAGGCCCAGAGAAAAACCCAGAAAGTTTACCTCAGGCACATAATTATCTCTCCTTTCTCTCTCCTCCTCCTGCAGCTTGATGGAGATGCCTCTCACTGGGCCTCTCTGAATCCGCTTCATCAGATGTGTGACATAGCTACGAGGTACAAATGCCCAACACCACTGAAACACACGCTGGCTCCCAACAGGTACACAGAACATCTGGATGAATACGTAGTTTTTGTCCTTATTCCAGTGAGAAGGGAGAGGGTTCACCATTTTAGGAGCCCTGACTCTGAACCTCCTACATACACAGAACCTCTACAAGCAGCCTCCGCTTGCCAAGCAAGCCCGTCCCGCTGATGTCTCACATCCTCTCTATTCAAACGCGCTGTCAAAGCTATCAGATTCTCCTCTCAAACTTTCACGATTCCTCCCGGCCTTCATTTTATTTTCTCCGAGTTCCAATTTACGTAACTTAGCATTTAATCACGCCGGCTTGTACTGTACTTAATGTAAGTCTTCCAGTGTTCGACTGTGGCTAACCTCGTCCAAGTGCCCCCGCCAATCAAACCGCCAAGTATAACGCGAACGCAAGACACGGGGAACAAGAATCCCTGCAAACGCACACCTGCAGCGCTCTCCGCGGCGCAGCCTCGTCCGGGCCCGACCACCGCGGACCCCACAACCGACCGCGGGCCACGGCGCTCCACCTCCCAGCGGAACCCCGGAGGCCGAGCGCAGACTCACTCACCCTGCTATCTTGTTGCGGAGCTTCTTGCTGGGAATAATGGCGATCTCCTCGCACACGCGCTTGTTGGTGTGGAAGTCGTTGCCGAGGCGTGTGTAGTACTTCTCAATGATGACCCGGGCCGCCTTCTTCACGGTTTTGGTGCGAACGCGGCCCTGCGGGTGGAGAAGACACGGTCACTCGCGAGCCAGGACACCCCTCCCGGCAACGACGCGGCGTAAAGCCCGGGTGGAGAGGGGTTTGTGGGCTGGGGCTGAGCCCAGGAGAGGGGAGGGCCAGCCGGGCAGTGCTGGAGCTCGAGGTCATCGTGGAAGCAAGCGGCCCGCGGAGGCTTCGGCCTCACAGGGCCTTGCACCCCTCCTTGCGAGCTAGGGGCCGGGGAGAGCGGCGGATGGGGGACGATTGTAGGGGATAGCAGCTTCGAGCCAAAACACCTACCATGTTGGCTGGTCCTTCGTAAAAGAGGAAACAGGAAGCACAAGAGAGGCCTATTAAAGTGCGGGCCAGAAAGTCGCTTCCGCCTAGCCTGGGACGCGCTGAGCCGACTCCAGCGCACCACAGCGACCCCTGGCCGGGAGGGACGGAACTGAAGTGTATGGTCGGCCGCCATCCAGAGGGCGGAGGGAGTGCTTGGCCCGCCCCCCAATGGGCCGGCCTAGGCCCCGACCCGCCCCAACCCAGCTCCACCTAGGGTTGTCTTAGGCCTGCGTTTTAAGCCCCTTTTTCGTCAGTAATTAGTTTGCCCGTTTGAAGTGCTCTTAACTAGACGGGCGCATCTCTTTCACACTTAAGAGCCCTTGGGAAGGCGGGAGAGCAGAATAGTGAGGAAGTAGGGCATGGTGCCCCCGCAGGACCCCCACCCAGTCCGTGGGTCAGAGACTTGTCTAGCCTGGTGGAGACACAGGTACAACTCGGAGAGGATTCTCTCACAAAGAAGCATCGCTATCCTTTTAAAGGTGCTCTAGTATTTCTTAGCACATGTCATAGTGACTTGTCTTAGTTTCTCGGCTGGGGGTGATTTCCCGTATCGTTTTGCCTTGAACAGTGCCCAGCACAAAGCAAGCTCTCAAATATTTAACTGAAGGGGCCAGTTCACCTGTTGTGCTCCCAAAGGAGGCACCTTCTCCAACCACTGCCTTCAGGCTGTTTCTGACATATCCATTCCAAACCAGGCCCTTCTGAAGCCCACAGCACAGGCTACACCTGGTAGCCCCATTAACCCGGGGAGTACCCTGCTCCCTCTTTCCAATTTTGTTGAATAGGTCCTAGGCCCCTAGTTGACTTAAGGAAAGGATGGGCTGCCCAGGTTGGATGAGTTATGGGACACCGGGCTGTGCCTCATCCCTCATCCCCTGGTCACCCTGGACAGTCCAGTCAGACTGAACTGACTGGGAATGGAACGCTGAAAGACAGGAAGCCCTTGCCCTGAATGTAGCTCCTGGACAAGGACAAAAGGGAAGAAAAGATGACATGGGTAGTGTGGGGTAGGGTACCAAAAGGGAGGGTCAGACTCTCCTCCAAGAAGAGTTGCATGAGTTTACCAACAAACTTCAAATTCAGCTGTGTCCAGCCAGGCCTCAAGTGAAAGATGAGGCCTCTCATTCTTGGCTGAGGGACTCCCCACTCCCCATGATAGTGCTTGAAGCTCTCACAGAACAGATACTCCAGGTTGCAGGGCTCCCTACTCCTCAGACTAAAATGGAATCTTCCCAAGGGTCACTCCAGCAGCTGAAACCAGGCACAACCTGTCTGAACAAACCATCAGTAGCTCCTCTCACAAATCCTGGGAGCCTGTGAGAAAAAGTCCAGATGCTAGGGCTCTCTGAAGAACAGCAAAACTTTACTCTCTCAGGAAGGAAATGGGTCAGCACAGGTGACTGCAAGAGACAGGAAGCCTCCCGAGAAGCAGCAGCTCTGAAGCTCAGAGGAGAAGCTGAGCAAACTGGCTCATGCCAACTCGAGGAGCTGTGCCTCTAGCTTCTCCAACCTAGGTCTGGGATTATGAGAAGAGGAGCCCCAAGAACTTTAATTGTGAGGGCTTTATACACAGTTGGACTAGAGGTATCCGCCCACCGGAGAAGGTACATTTGACCACGGAAGTGACCAAGAAAGACTTACAGGGGCAAGTCTCCCACATGGCCCCACCATCAACCTGGCCTGGAATCCCATCCTAGAAAATCCAAGGAAACCACAGGTTTTAACTCTGGAATCTTATTACCCCACTGCCCGCTTGCTCCCATACCTCAGACACAAGAGACAAAACCAGAACTCTGCTGCAACGTGTTTATTATGTGCCAAAAAAAACTACACCACAGCTTACTCCACACATCTGTAGGAGAGTGCAGTCTTGCCTGCATATACTACAATGAGGTAGAGACTTCACACACAGCTTCACAAAACCCACAGAGTAGCTGGGATATGCAACAATGCAACGTCAGCTCAGCAGGAGGGGGGGGGTTATGACACTGGTTCTTTGGCACACAGCTTCCCAAAGAGGGGCAAGTAGTTTTGTTTTGTTTTTTAAAAAAAAAAAAAAAAGAAAGAAAGAAAGGAAAAGTCAAGTTTTCAAATTCCAGTAGCATCTCAGTCAACTGAAACTGAAACTGAAACTGTTGCTTCACACATTTCTCAAATGAAAGAATTAAGAGAAGGGTACTTGTCCCCTCTGAGAGAAAGGGCTCCTGTGAGCCTTCATCTGCCCCCACCAAAAAGCAGCCCTTTTTAGCTCAGTTACAAAAGAAAAAAGTCCTGTGACTTTGTGATTAAAAACTTCTATCAACCCTCCCCCCCACATAAGTGCAACTTAAGAAGGTGCAATAAACCATTTAAAACTATATACAGCAGCCGTTCAAACATCGTTTATCCGGTCCAGTTTCAAATCCAAAAAAATTTTTTTTCTTGTTTGCAAATGCCTTGATTTGCAACTGTGAGAAACAGTGACCAGCAGTCCCCCAGACACAAATTTGCTATAATGTTAAAAGCTGCCAGGAAAGAAAAAAAAAAAATCTCTTGTTCCAAACGACTTAAAAACTGTTTTAAGGAGTGTAAAAAGGAACCGGTAAAAACCCTCGAGCGTAAAATATGAAATATGATTTTGGTTTAAATGAAGAGCAAAGTCTCCTTGTTGTTTACAGTAAAAAACACCAGCTGAACACTCAGTTTATGCCGTTCAGGTGGGGGTTAAATAAATGGAAAGGCACTGTATGGCAACTGCAAGAATGAAACCAATGAGACCTGCGCATCATCACCATCAGTATTGCAAGGAATGTAAAAAAGCGCTTTTAATAAATAAACCTAGATGTAGGCATCGTGTCATTACCTTCTGGACACGTATTTCTTTTTTGCTTTTCATCGGCAAAATGAGAAACTAAAATCTGGGAAAACTACAGAGTCGCTTGGAGGGTGAGCCAGAGGGTCCTTGCCCTGGCGTACCCCCTGAAAACAAAACCCGACAAAACTCATTGTGCATTAATTAGTGCAGAAACAAAGACAGATTCAGCAAGTGCAAAGGTGACTACGATTTTCCCTTGTCCTCGGGAAGCCAGCTCCCTGGTCGCCAGCGGCAGGATGGTACAGGCTGCTGCCTGACCCGCCTGCCTTCGGCGTCACAGGCCACTGGGCAAGGCCAGCTCCTCTAGCTGGAATCTCGGTTCTTCTGGTTCCGCATCAGGGGGCTGTGGTGGCGCAGGCCCTCCATGCTGTGCCGCCAGTGCCAGCAGCTCCGGCAGAAGTACTTGAAGCACACCTGGGTCGAGGGTAGAAAAAGGGAGAGAAGCCAGGCCTGTGTCAGTACCAGCCAGAGGGGCAGCTGCATGAGTTGCCTGCTCTGCTCAAGAGGGGTTGGGGGATTCCTGATGGCCTTTGTGGGGTTAGAAGAGATGGTCCTGGGGATCCCTCTCATCCGCAACACACAGAGGCCTGACCAACCATGGTAAATCCACTGTGTGTTTCTATGGGTGCCTGGACTTAAACATGCTGGGCTCCTATTGTGCATGGCGACTGCACTGGCTTCCCCGCCTCCTCCTGGCACCACTGCTGCTCTTCCAGTCCCCTGTCCTTCCCACCTCCCATGGAGCAGGGGTATCACATGGCTGCTAGTATGGGAGAACATTAAAAGACAGTGATTCCATATCCTAACACCAGGCAACAGGACTTCCTCTCCACACTAAGTGAGCAGAGGTGACATGTCAGTCTCAGCCCTACACACTTGCTGGCTGTGTAACCTTGGGCAAGCCACTAACCTCGGAGCAGTTATCTGAAAACGGGGGTCATCTGAGAAAGATACTGACACACAAAAGCCTACAAGGAGAGGCTGTCAGAGATACTTGTTCTCAGGCTTTATCCAGCAACCCAAACTTACTTCACACCCTCATTTTGGAGCCTCAGTTTACTATCTACCCAGAGACTCCAAACCTAAGTGATATAGCACCACTGCCAAAAAAAAAAAAGTGGATACTCTGCTAGTGTCCGAACAGACCCCAAATTTCTCCAAACACTTGTCAAAGTATGACACAGATCAGCAACACTGGTACCACTTGGAAACTTGTCAGAAACAGAGAATCTCAGGCCGTATTCCAAACCCACTGAATCAGAATCTGCATCTATACAAGATCCTCAGGTGATAAGTATATATACATTAGAGCATGAGAAGCACTGCCCAAATACATTCAGATCTGTGTTCCACCACTCAGAAACATTCAACAAAAACTGTTGTGCTGCTTTCTGCCTGCTTCTGACAACTGTGGGTACAAACCAGGTACAAATATCAAAACAGTCCAGAGGTTCAGAAGCAAATAAAGAAGGCTTCCTTGCGTAGGGGAAAAATCAATCTAGAAGGCATTAGAGTTAGAAAAACTGTGCAGGCTCATAGGTACTGCTGACCTCACCCACCCAGGATCCTGTCATCCCCCAAACCACCTTTGAGTGATAGTGCCAACTGCACAGCAACATCCCAGGCAAGGAGAAGGCCAAAGTATCAAGACTCAACTCAACAAGCTTTCCCAACAGTTTTGGGTCAAGTTTGTCTCTGGTCTGACCATCAGCAAACATCACTACTGCCTCCTCTACGCTTTTAGACCATCACAAGGTACTTAAGAACTCCAACATTCCACATGACAAACGTGACAGGACAATCTCTTATTGAGGGCAGGGACTCCGTAGATACCCAAGGGCCCAGGGGACTTACCTGATCTCGGCAGAAGAAAGGACCAGGCTGAGAACTGCAGATATGACACAGAGAGTCTTCCAGGTAAGGGTCAATCTGAACCTGTAAAAAGGAGAACAGGATAGCGAAGTGGCTTCTTCTCACCGGAGGGCCAAATGGGCCAGAAGAGAAGGGCATGTTATGGGCTATCCACATGCATAGAGGGCGTTCCCTGTTTTAAAGAGGGCCGAGAGAGAATCACAGGCAGAGAGACTGAGATCCTAGACAGCAGACGGGCAGACTGCAGAG